TTATTTTAATCAATTATCTATATAGCAAATCTACGTATAATCGATAGCTGTATACAATTTATATCTGATTATGAAATTAAATTGATACATTTTCAAACTAATATCTTACATTTAAAATACAATCACATGAGGATACTGTCAGCACTTTGTTTACGCTCATCACTAAGCAACAAGTTTCACCCGCCTGAGATGTCACACTTCATGGTATAATGTCTATAGCATATCACGCCAAAGTAATGAATTGCTATAAACACACATCACTAACATTCATTAAACCTTATTCCTCCGTCACTCGTTCAGGATTAGATATAAAATGACACCCGGAGATTATATTGATCTTGTACCTACTGAAAAAAAAATCAAACGCAGTCATTGATCGAGTTCTTGTGGGTTGACTTTGGTAAAATAACACAACACATACGGTATCAGCTTGTTTCACCTTGTCCAATGCGGGTCAAGGAAACACTGACGGAGAGGAAGAAAAATTGCGGTCAAGGATCTAACAGTACAACCTCAAGAAAAGTTTTATTTCTCGCGTGATTATTATTTTTATTAATATCGTTTTTCAATAACTTTTGATTCTTAATAGGGTGTCAAACCATAATATCTAATAATTAAGAGCCACAAACTAAAGTCAGTAATCGTGTTTTTTACTATTTTAATATTTTTTAAGGTGAATGTAATTAAAAAGTAGAACTATAAGAACACTCATACAGTTCTGTCTAGTGTCTATACAATCAGACTTGTAGCTCTAGGACTTTGTAGCTTCTCTTAAGTAATCAGTAAACAATAGTGACCATCGAGAGTCAGTAAACTTTTAGCTGACGTCTGTAATGAATTGCGTACATTTAAATGGTTATTGATGAAGGTATTGAACAAAATACAAAAATACCAAAAAGCAACACAGTGGAGGTGTAGATGATTTAAGAGCCATCCCTGTCCTCAACACACTCTCTTGATGTAAAAAAAAAAAGATGACGTTTTAAAGTATGATATTGTTCAAATAACTAGAAATTTGTGTGCGCTGCTTACGGGGCCTACTCAACTCGTGCCTGAAGACGAACCACTGGTCTCTACGTGGTAGGAGCTGGTAACAGTGGTAGAACATTTTGTCATCTGAGAGAGATACACACAGTGACACAGATAAACACTAGTCTGAAATTCTCCATTGCCACACGAATGATTTAAAGACGCGTCGTGCTTCTTTTGTCGCGTATACGTCCGCGTGAAAAGTCCCACTGAACATTGAATGTGTCGCACGAAAAAAAATAACGCTTGTGTTAAATATCTTAATGAGAGTTGCTCTAGAGATCTGCCACCACCCACAAAACTTGGGTATCTGGCCGATTCCACCCTAGGTCGGGTTGTTAGCGGCTTGGGCGGCCGGTTACGTCTCTGTTACGCACTGTTAGCAAGTACTGGGCATGTACTAGCTCGACAATGTATCTATACTTGCGCCAGTGTTGGTCGAGTTTGGACTTGAATTCAGATTCAGATTTGCCCCCGAGGGGGCTAGTTTATTGGGCACCCCCTTACATCCTGTGCAAGGTGAAGCGCAGAAGCGTTTACAGCGCCCAACAGGGAAGTATGAAAAGTTCATACTTGCCTTTATGACTCGTACATTAAGGGCGTAAAAGCCTGAAGGGTCATAGGTTCTGTCAAGTTACATAAAGTGAGAGAATGATGAGTGTGTGGGGGGAAAGTTCCCGGTGCATGTTATCTGTTTATGTTTGGACTTGAATGAGCTCACACTCGGTGCCTGTGTAGCAGTTAAAAGTGAAGTCTAGGTAGAAATGAAGTGTTTGCCCAACATATCGTACGACACTCCCGGCAGAACGCTCTGAGATTCCGCGGTGAGCAAAGCTGGTGAGTGGCGGCTGATAGTAGCATTATATTCGACTTCCATGCGTTTGGATGTACAATAATTCAATTAACTAAGATGTAATGAAACAAACTCTTTTATTATAAAAACGTTTTATTTCCACAGGTGATGGTCTACTAGTAGATACCAGATTTTCAAACGGTCATATATGAAATTGTTAGATTCCTGTATGTATATTTATTTAAATCAATACTGTATATGAATGAATAGAACCATTGAACTGTACAGTATTAATATATTAATACCTTACCAAAGGAGATCTCTCCAGATAGTAAAACAGAAGCTACACCGTAATATGAAAGGATTGTCCATTCTTCTGTGGATAATTATTGAGCCAAATTATTCCGCTCATGTTATTTTGGTCTACGTCACATAACAGTTTACATTAATAATCTCTGTTTACATCTTGTTTCTCTTGGAACTCTTCACTGTGTGATACAAAACAATAGTAAGTATATATTCAGTTGTTTTGAATCACATTAAAATATATCTGAGTCTGATGACATTTGAGTTTACTGTAATTGAATATAGTTAATTAAAAATGCTGCACACATTAATTAGTTGAATAACTATGTGCTAAGAAATGGAGTCTGTTCAGATTATTGTAATTAATGTAAATAATTAAAGTATTTTTACACCTTTAGCTGTGACAACAGTACGAGTGGCAGGTAGCACATGTTAATACCACACACTACATGTGGTAGCACATGTTAATACCACACACTACATGTGGTAGCACATGTTAATACCACACACTACATGTGGTAGCACATGATAAATACCACACACTAGATGTTAAAGGCAAGTTCTAGTGTGTGTGTGTGATGATCAAGCTGCTGCAGATTTATTAGTGAACTTTTGAGTTTCTCTAATGCATCTTTGTTGGTCGGTCCACTCAGTCTACCTCCCGGACCTCGCCTTCCTCTGTCACAATAAAAAGTGAGTTAGTGAAATACTGTACAGGCATCCCTCAAGGCACAGAAGCTTGAGTAATGGAAATTCACATTAAAGGAACTAAAAAAAATATGGAATAGTCTTTGAGATACAGAGGAAAAAGTTCCATTAGTTACTGGGACACGCACAGTACAGTACTGGTTAGCTCAGATCCCATGAAGAATCTCCACCCAAACTTATTACACCTAAAGATTAACCACCTTAATGCTATTTGTGGGGATGAGGTTAGGTTAGGTTAGCATTTGGGTGGTTAATCTTTAGGTGAAATAAACTAGGGTGGAGATTCATCAGGTGATCCCACTATTACAAGGTGCAGTAAACTTTAAATTTGTATACATGTTAAAAGTTTTATAAGGTAACTTTAAAATTTAAAGGCCAAAATTTTTTGAGCACATCAAAGTTAGCCACAGATCTGTAATGTGCAGTTAAGGGTCCAGGAATTTTGGGTGTATGTTTTCGGGCTGCAGTCCCATACTGTACCTTAAATTTCCCCTTGAAATACATAGAATGATTTAACATGATTCAACACCACCCACACCTGCTGTGCTGATAGTGAAGTGGTGAGGCCTAGCATATTTATATCAGAATTTGGCAGAATGATAGCGTCCTGAAATGTAATTGGTGGAAGATCATCTAATTTAGAAAGTGTAATTGGTAAATACCATTGAATTTAACCAAGTTTGTACCTCTCATTCAGAGATGCTGCACAGATCCACATTGATAGACGTAATGATATCAGCTCTAGAAACAGACCTAGTTTGAGGGTTAGGAGGAAGGGGAATATGTGAAGAAGAGTGAAGAGTAGAGTCACCAGCGTAAGAATAGATAGAATTAGTTGTAGTGTGAAGTAAATCATTGATAAAAAGAAGGAAGAGAGTAGGTGAAAGAACAGAACCCTGTGGGACACCACTATTGGTAGAGAAAGAGCGAGAGATCGATCCCTCGACCAACAACTGCCATGGATCGGTTCTCAAGGAAACTAGAGATTAGAAAACAAAGTGGGGGAGAGAAACCAAAAGAGGGAGGTTTAGAAAGCAAAGACTTGTGACATACCCTGTCAAATGCTTTGGAGATGTCGAGGGCCACGACGAAAGTTTCCCCCGTACCGAAAGTTACAATTCTGCCCTCATGGGCGTCCACAGAAAGGGGAAAAGGGGGATATTACCCCTCCATTGATTCATTAAATTTTCATCATTTGCATCGTGTTATATATATATATATATATATATATATATATATATATATATATATATATATATATATATATATATATATATATATATATATATATATATATATATATATATATTACCTAAGGGTAACACAACATCCTGACCTTAGGGTAACAATCACTAAACTGAATTAGAATAATATGATTTAAGCAATACCAAACGTATAAGCACGTACGTGTCAGGAATGCATGTTCATCGTCTAAGCAGAACTGACTTCAACTGAAGGCTGACTGCTGAGAAACGCCAACCGCTGTCCGATTGAGTCGTACGTCTGGCACTTCATTTTTACCTTACGCTTCACTTTTAACTGCTACACCGCTACAACACACACTGGCAGGTTGTTTCAGGAGAGTTCACCAGTTCACAACTCTTGTTCCATACAGGGGCACTGCACTGTAAAATCTCAAGAGACAAAGCAAATTTGAATCGAACTGGGATTACCTGAAGATTAACCTGTAGTGGACGTCCACTACAAAGCACTCTAACATTCCTGGGGTGGAAATTCTTCAGGTGTTCCACTAGCTGTAATGATATCGGAATGATTGGATCACCTGAAGATAGCCTAACTTAAACAAACCTACCCCCTCCCCCCAGGCAGTATTAGTGTGTTAAAAATCAAATAAAATAAGCTGGTGATTCGGTTGATTATCCCGTCTCAAATTTATAGCAATAAAAGTTTTACCACTCATATCTGTGGATTAGAATCAACAGTCCTGACTCTCACACTATTTGAAAAGAATGGTAATAATATATAATGTGGTGAAGAGGATAAAAGTAAAAAGTGAACTGACACAAATTGGCAGAAAGGTAATAATAGATAATCAAAGCAATCTATAATGAACTTTTTTATAATTTATATGAGAAGATCTATAATAAGGAAGAAAATAGAGAGAAAGAGATGTAAGTAATGTATGACCCCGCGGGCCTTAATCATCATGTACCCGCGCCCCCATATCATAGCAACGGCTGACAGAAGTAAACACCACCTCACCTGTCTCCACCTCACCTGTCTCCTCCTCACCTGTCTCCTCCTCACCTGCGTTAATTACAAGATAACCTCCACGGTACACCTCGGCACAGAGAGTATTTAAGTCACTTATGTGCTGAGTTGAATGGCCTTGCTAAATACTGCTGTTGTTCCTTAAGTGAAAGTGTGGAGCTGGAGGAGTAACTTGAAGTGGGAGTCACCGTCTCTATTACTCCACTTACTAAAAACAAAAAACTCGGCTGTTTATACATACATCTGAAAGCTTACTGCATTATCTGGCTATAAAACTATGGTGTCCAAGGTGTGTGTATTTATATATGTTAAGAGCTCGGTATAATTCCATGAATAATTCTTTTTTGTGTTTGATATAAATGCTGGTAAATATGTACAGTAGTCTGTAAAATTGTCGATAATACCTGGAATGGCAGTGCAGGTTAACCAGAAATATAGAAAGTTTGGTAATATTGTGAAAATTGGACATAAAATCAAAAGCAATAGTGTCCATTTAGCAAAACTGAAGTTTGTGTAGTATCAGATAATACTACATTTTATAATTTAGTGTTCATAAAATCCAAACTAACCTATGTAAGCATACTTATTGTTTATAATATAATGTTTCGGTGAAGCTCAAGTCTACTGTTGGAAGGTTAGGTTAGGTTACGGATGCAAATAATGTACATGGTGCAGTCACCCACAAAAATCCTAACGCTTCTCCTACTGTTCCACAAACCCCGAGATTCAGATTTGTGACCAAAGCAGTCAGACTGATGCATTATTATGTCCATGAAAGTTATGGATTGACGAGTCTGAATCTCGGGGCTCATGATTCAGGAGGAGAGGCAACACAACTGTTGTGGGTGACTGTACATTTACAGTTGGGGGCAGATAACATCAATGATAACTGCACCCAACCTACTTCATTTATTTATGACAAGAAGTATGGAAGAATAATGGCTCCTCCATCTCAAAGATACTCAGCGAGAGAAGTTCAGTACAGTACCTCATGGTGGACTTTTAAAATTCTTAATTGCAATAGATGTACTTAAGCGCTAAGGATTTTTAAATAAATGCAGGATTTTATGTTATGTTAATCTTGATATTTAAACTTAATAGGATTTTATTTTATTTGTAGTTTTAAATTGTGAGTTTCATTTTTAGCATCAAATGGCCACAGGTTGCAATGCCAGATATTTTACCCAATCACTCAATTAATTATAAAAAAAAATAAAAATTTTAATTCTCTTCTTTTTTTTCATAAAGAAAGAAGGAAGTTAGGTACTTTACCATTGTATCCGTGCAAATGTTTTAAGATCATAAGTTATTTTTTTCAACTAACCTAACCTAACTTGGCTTAAAATTTGTTTTTTAATGTCACCACTTAACCTGTGCTCCAATTCCAGTGTTGCCAAATCATTGTACAATTTCATATTAATTCAGCACATCCATACACAGAGTAGGTATACAAACATTGGTAAACTGTAAGTCACTTTGACCAAGAATAGCCCAACAAAGCCATCATATACTTATTTCCAGCAGGGTCCTTTGCTTAGGCTGGGGGACTAATGGTAACATTAAATCTACAACATTTAACATGGTAATTTGTAGTTAACTGTAACAAATACAACTTTGCACTTGGACAATCTTAGACTAGTGGATCAATTCCATGTTATTTGACAGGATCTTCAACATATTTGAATATACTTAATATTGCTTCACTCTCTCTCTTTTACACGTACTTTAACAGGCAATGTTCACTGGATTTGGCGTCCTGTGTACCACCAGCAAGGCCGTGGGTTCATAACACTCGTCTTGCCTGCACTGCCCGCCGTTTCTGTGTGGATGTCGGTCAAACTAGAATAACCTGTTATAGTACATCCTTCTTTCTTCACACAGCCAAACTGTGGAATGCTCTGCTTTCTTCTGTGTTTCCATGCTCTTAAAATCTGTCTCACGTCAAAAAGTTGCTTTTTTGACATCTTCAGGGTGTAGATTAATACCCTTTATAGTCTTTTTCTCTTTTATTTTTAAATCCTTTTCACTCTTATGTTTTGGCCCCCCAGGCTCCATTATGGGTTAATGACCTGTGCTCGGGTAGGCTATTCCCCGTAAAAAAAGATAGAAAATATTAAATGCTCAGGATGATTGTACAAGGAGCAACCAAACTCAGAATCATGCTCGAATGTTGACGCTTTAGTTCTGAAACTGTGTGGCTTCCTGGGCATTGCAGGCATATGAATTTCGGATTTTTGAGCAATGCCTAAACAGTTTTTATTTTACATACATACAGGACCATAATACAGTACTGTATTTATATTCATAGTAGCTTCATTAATACTTGTTGCTCATAATATCTCTAAGCTAATTCAAACATGCAACACTTGCCTCTTACATGCTTTCCTATGGGATTATTACGTCCAACCCACACAAGCGAGGAAAATGACTGTTAAGTGTTGATGATTAAGCATTCCAGCTTATTTTACCTAAAGATTAATCACCCTAACTCTAACCTAACAAATCTGCTTGCTTGGGTTAGCTGTGGTCATGATTATGTGGTGGCAACTGTCCATACTGCATGGTCTCTTGCAGTCTCTCTTTTCAGCTCCCTTATCATCCACATATGGGCTTAGGCATCTCTTGACCCAATTGATCTCATCCATTTTCTCCATATTTGTTTGTATTAAAATTTGATGTAGCTACAAATATTACCAATGAAGTTGATCCCAAGAACTCTAATCTTGCAAATTTTCCTTCGCAGGCTCAGGTCTCCATAGCCTTTGTTTTTGGGCTCATAGGTCTGCTGTCTCAGATTGATACAGATCCTAAAACTTGGGAGGCTACGGAGTTTGCAACCATTTATGCTTCCCCTGATCAAATGGAAAGATTCATTACGAACCCCGATTCAGTAGAAAAAGTAAGACGTTTTATTATTTGGACAATGTCCAATACAGTACAGTGTTTAACTTTTCCCCTCCAGAGTAAAGATAATTTTTTGGAAAATGTTTATATTTCACAATAAAAAATGCAACAAAATTTTGTACTGCCCAAAACGATGTAGTGCAAGAATTTGATGCATTTTTTTATTATTATTATTAAGTACAGTACACTGTATTGTGTTCTGTATGACATAAAATTAATGAATGATCATTATGAATAAATGAACATGATTTTTTTTTCCAGACTTCATGAAAATTATGAGTTAATTTTTAATTAAAGAAAACAAGAAACCTGATATGTAATGTTTTCATAATACAAATTTTTCTGCTTTATTTCAAAAGTGGTTCCGATGGGTCTCCTTCTTCAAGGCGGCAGATAGTCGCCCCCTAGGTGTTGGTAAAAAATACCAAGCAATCTACAATGTTCCAGTGTTTGGTAAGTGAGTAGTTAGTGTGGTTATGGGGATGTTTGTTGTTAATGAGAAGAATTGATATCTTAGAAAAGTTATATTTTTCAGATATATCTTACTTGACCTCATTGCCAGTACATTACTGTGCTGTACAGTACAGTATTATGTTTTTATGGGATAACCTCCTGACTAGATTTTTCCCTCATGTACAGTATATGGAAGTAGGAACTCTACGATTTACTTATTCATGTATTATAGACTTAGGTATTGAGAGCCTCCTTAAAACACACACGTATTCAGTGCATTTCCCAATTCTTCAGACACAGATACTGTGTTCTTTTCACTTTCGCCTTTTGTCTTCCTTCACTGGAATTATTATTTTTTCAGGAGAATATGTAAATCTGTTTAAACTAGTTGAATACAAGCCCAACAAGTTGGTAGCAGTAGAATCAAGTTCTTTTCTGAAGCCTCGTTTCACCGTTAAAATGGAAGAGGGTGGTCCTAAGACAACTCGCCTCACTTTGAAGTAAGTACTGTAGAGTATTTGAACATTTCTTGTTCATGCAAAATGGTGTGTAGTTTGACTTTCGGATGACATTGTATTGCTTTATTCAGTTTTCTGTTTTTTACTGCTTGAGTATTCTTCATAAAGGTCTCAGGCTTTTTGTAGTTAGATTTTGGTCATCATCATCATCATGAATCTTTTGTTAGTACAAGACGAAAACAGAGTACCTAGCCAACGAAAATCTATCATGTTCCGAAGGGTCACCTTAGTCAAGATTTCTCTCGTCCAAATTATGTGGAAAACAAACCCAACTTTGCATTTTCTAAAGATAAGAGTGCTGTCACTGCCATGTAGTAACTATCCAGCATTTTTGTTGTAGAGATGTGAGGGCATGCACATTTTGCCAGTCTTCATAAATCTTTGTCCTGTATATACATTAAGGGATTTGGTCTTGTCTTGAAAAAAAATAGTACAGTATTTTCTCTATTTAACAAACTAAATAGAGCCAACCCATTTCGTTAAATCAAAATCTCCGCTAAATTGAATTTCTGTTACTTTGCTCAATTTACCAAACTAGTTCGCTAAATTCCGTGCCAAATGCGCCGCTTGGTGCATGGAGTTTGTTTACATCCGCTCAGTCTGTGTAGTGCCGCCACCGCGTGTGTTGTTCACTGCTACCTCTCGGTCTATATCTCGGTCAACTAACTGTTGTGTTTAGACATCATTCCGAAAGTCTCTCAGAAAGGAAGTGGTGTGGGGGAGAAAGTCAGAGTGTCACTATGAATTACCAAAAAAGTTTAGAAATTATAGAAAAAATTGAAAACATACAGCAAACCCCCTAGTTTAAGGTAAGCCATGAATAATGTTTATAATTTCTATGTACACCCGGAAACCATATTATAATAGCCCACCTGGGTCGGTGCTGGAGGTTAGTACAGTGTCCTTTCTGGACGGGGGCCCACTCTAACTATCACGAGGCAACACACGCACGAACACACACAGTCATGGTACAGCTGTATAGGTGATATTATGTATAAATATTGTATATGGCATTTTATACTCTGCATTATCTTCATTATATATGAACACGAAGAAAAATTACCATAGGTTGTAGTTACGAAAGTATGACTGGAAATAAACACTTCCAAACCACCCAGTGAATCCACACAACGTTTACAGCGCTTCCACCACACCCCATCTATATCTTTTATTTCCCATCATTCGCATAACTATATGAAAAATCGTGTTTAATTTAACTACATATTTCAAAAACCTTAAATTACATGTGGATCAGTCACTCCTCATTTGACACACTTATAGTGTAATACTTTGACCATCCCACCTGGGCACATGGAGGCCCACGGTAACGCTCACGGGGCAACATACGCACGAACACACAAGTTATGATATGAACCCTTCCGGGCTTCACTATCATTATCATGTTATGTTCATCGTGCTCTGTATCTTGGTAACTAGTCATAGTATCAATACATGACAGTGTTATTAGTATAATATTGTAACTTTTACCCTACAGTTATTGTTGTAAATTATGGACAGGAAGGATACATAAATTGTAATATCAAGTGTATGGTTCTCTCAAAGCCACCCCAAGTCAGACAACACGTCACACAAAGTTACACTGTGTGTGTGTGTGCGTGTGTGTGTGTTCCGTAACATTAAGCTTCATCCTTAGTAGGCAAGATGTTTCATAAAGAGGTTTCTCCCATTCGTCATTGTGAGCATTTTCCCAGAGCACATTGTTTCCATCAAAACCATGGTTCATCCTCATTTCCCTTCTTCTGTGTAACTATATCCATATGGCTAAGTGCTTGCTTTTCATTTCTTTATTTACCAAAATAATGTGGATCAGTTACTCGTTATTTAACACATACATGCACTTAGAGCATCAAGATTGTTTTGTATGCATGACTATTGGTTAATTGAAACCCCAAAAATATTTTTCACATTTATTATGCATAAACATTGCAAACATATCTATGTGATTATTGTAGCATATAACATATATTTAATGACTGGACAGATTCCCAAGAGTTATGCATATTAATGCATAGATTTTGTAAGCATATTTATGTGAAGTGACGTAAAACCACATAGTAAAATGCCTGGACAAATTCCCGAGAGTTAGGAAACGAAGTCTATGTGGCCCCAACGAGGTTACACCAGAGAGCCAACTTCCCCCGCCACCCCCTACAAGGCACCGTCATGGGCGGAGATTTGATTCTTGACCACAGGTTAATACCGTGTCCAACCTCCATCTGCTGCTATAACTTCATGCAATCTGGTGGGCATGGAATCTACCAGATTGCTGCAGATGTTCGGCCTCCTCCTTATTCCCTCCCACACCTTATGTGCGTGTCTACTCACTGCCTCCCTCGTTTTCTCCTCAACATCCCATTCAACAACCATATGCGCCCGTAGATTTTCTATTGGATTACAATGGGCTCCTTTAGGGGGCCAGTCCAATAGAATAATCTGCGGGTGCGCCTCAAACCAACGCTTGGCTGCCCGACTTGTATGTATTGAACTGCGGTCTTGCACCATACATATAGGCTGTGGATCTGGGATGGCATATGAGTTGCTGGGAGGATGGTTAGCAGTCCTGTTGAACTGGCAGGTAGACAAAATAGAAAACTCACAGCCAAACTGTCCTTTGGTTCTTCATTTCATAACTCCAGTGTGTGGTGCTTTCCCTCACGTCCAATGGTTAAACTCGATTTTTTACGGTTTGCAATAAAATGCATTATTACAGTATATTAATATAGATTTTCCTCCATGTATTGATACTATGACTAGTTACCAAGATACAGAGCATGATGAACCTATCATGATAATGATAGTGAAGCCTGGAAGGGTTCATATCATAACTTGTGTGTTCGTGCGTATGTTGCCCTGTGATAGTTAGAGTGGGCCCCCGTCCAGAAAGGACACTGTACTAACCTCCAGCACCGACCCAAGTGGGCTTCAGAATATGGTTTCCGAGTGTACATATCATGTGTCTGAGGTGTCTCCTTATGTGTGTGAGCGTATTAATGAAATTAATCTCGATTTAGCGAAGTAGTTCACTAAATTGAGCAAAAAATAATGGAAAAATCCTTCCGCTGAATTGAGAGTTCATCATATCAGATTCCATTAGATCGAGAGTATACTGTATGCTGTGCTCTGTATTTTGGGGTGGGTCAGTTGAATGGATGTCTTAGTGTTTGTATATGTTTTCTCTCCAAGTGAATAACTCTTATAGGAATATGGACACTTTAGTGAAACCTAACTTAAACATTTATCATTATTATATAGCGTAAGACACCAAATTTAAGTATTTGTGTCACGGGTCAAATTTGCCAATAAGCATAGTACTGTACATACCATGGTAGTACTCTTGTTAATTTTTATATTGTATGTACAGTACAGTACTGGTGTTTTCCTTTTTATTCTTTTTCATATTGATTACCAAGTTGGTGGCTGCATAAGTTCCCTTTGTCATAATGAGTCGCTAAATAGAGTGGATGGCTACATAACTTTCTTTCTTCTATACTCTTGTACTGTAATGTATAATATTCTCTTTTATAGGTTGAAGTATAGGCGGTCATCAGCACTCTTCCAGTGGACATTGGGGCCGGTTTTATGGCTAGTAACAAGCCAACAACTCCAGCACTCCTTGTTTATGTTAAGAATGATGTTCCCCTTCTGACGTTTGGAGGACCCACCCCACAGCCCCGTAATAGCCGTTATTCAGTTATCTTCTTCTGTGTGAACCAGAGGAGTCTAAACTAAATTCTCACTGCATCTATAAAACTTCTCTTCTCCCATTGATTTTTTTGTTCCAGGGTATTTTTTCAGTCTTGGTTGTGTGCTGTTCTTGATTGTAATTTGTTTCTAATGTTTGCATCCTAAGTGCCTATTTGCTTTTGGGAACTTTTTATAGTCAATGAATTTTATCTGTTTCAAGGACAATGTTTAGCAAATTTTATAAGTCATTCATGATTTAGATGTGAAAGAGTTTCTACTTGAATGATACAACCTTTGTATTTGCCAGTAAGTAATCTTCCTTTGGCAATTAGGAAGTCCAGATGGTTTATAGTTGGGATGATTATATTTTGGAACCTTTATGTGTTTGTAAAGAAGACATTAATAGTGTGTCTGGGGACCTAAAAGTCAGTGTCATGCTAACTTTGAAGACCGGAACTTGTACAGAATTTGATTGTGTTGTATGGATGTGTCTACTCTTCTCACCTGAAGTTTTTTGGTGTATGTTCGAGTTCAAAGGCTTAAAGTTGGCAAAACATTGGTTTTAAGGGTCATAAAAACATAAGACACCTCTACATACATGAATTCTAAAAATAACATTGTCTAAACTTTGAATCTCTGGTATGAAGCCAAAAGGTAAAATAATGCAGTTGCAAATGAAACCACTTTTCTTCATATTAAATCTTAATATTAGAAAAAAAATATAAAAAAGAACTTCTTTATTCTTACCTGTCTTTAGCATGTCCTCCCTCTCTTCAGGAAGATTACACTACCTGAAAAATTCCTATGGACTGCTTATGCTCACAGTTTGACATGGTACTAAAGAGGGTCACTTCTGATTTAGGGTATTTATGTAAAATTGTGGTACAGTACAGACCGAGGTTAATTGGATATCATGATCTCTATTAGTCATATGGACCAAGATAAGTGTCAATGTTTTTTGGTGACTCCTCATACTCTCCTTTCCTCTCTGTCTGTGATGGATATATTTTGCTGTGGGTAGAGGAATTAGTTATTTATAATGATCCTTAAACTTAAGGTTTTTGTGTGTGTTATATAGATAAGATTGTAGACCTTCAACAGAGGATGAGATTTATATTTTAATATAATACTACAAGGCAAAATCATGTAAAACCAAACTTTGGACAGAGTATCCATAATATAATGTAAATATGTTACAGTACTTTACTTCAAATATTTAAAAAACAATTGGTAGATTTTTAGTAAGGAGGTATGACCGTATACAGTAGCATGTCACTTTATCAGATGAATTAGTGAAAAGGATTGTCCTAAATGGAGGAAATTCTATTGTAAGGAAGGTTATAGAGCTGTACACTTCATCTCCCCCCCCCCCATACAGTATAGCAATATATACTTGAACATTAAGGGACTTTACACTTGTCTGAGAATTTGAGAAACCTATTTTATCTAATCTTCTAACTAGGGTACAGTAGTACAGTTTTACAGTGGTGTTAATGTGTTCATAAACATTTAGTGATACTACAGTATATTGATTGTAAACTAATGTACAGTACAGTGAATCATGTATTTAATGCAGCAAACTGTAAACAGTAGAGTACTTTTTTCTTCAAACATCTGTCTTTAACCGCTAATATAGAGACCTCCCTTCAAGGAGTTTCGTTCAAGTCTGATGCCTCATTATACCAACACTACACCAAAACAAAGGATAGCTATATGAACCAGGAGCAGCTTCTGTTACTATACATACTCACCTTCTGATCAATTTGTTTCTTATATGAAATACTGTACTGAGCATTTTCTTATGAAATTATCATAATTTATGTAATATAAAAAGGTATGTTTGTTATATGATAGAGCAGAGCAGTATGTGGCAATCTGAGCCACCCTTTGTAGGTCACAATTCTTATTTGTTTGTTATTTCTGTTCTTTAAGTGTAATGTTGACAAGGCATTAAGCCTGTGTATTTAGATCTCTATGTACTTCCTGAACACTGGTCAGTACAGTACTGAATTATTCAGGATAGTGTTGCTGCCAGTGGCGTGTCGTGAGAAAAATGCTAGGGTAAGCAAATGACGCTTTCTTACTTGTAAAGTCACGAGATCTAAAGAATTCTTTAGTAGATCACATACAGTCTGTATGTGACTTTACAAGTAAGAAAGCGTCATTTGCTTACCCTGGCATTTTTCTCACGACACGCCACTGGTTGCAACATTATTACAAATATCTTGGGCTTCGTAATTGTACAGATCATAATATACATGATCTTGTCTGGTTACCTTCGTACAGTTACTTTTGTGATCGTGAGCAGTTTGTATGACAAAAGTTTTAAGTTATTTTAATGACTACAGTGTGTAAAAGTCCAGATGTGTTTAAAATTCTAAAGGACATTTGCTCATAAATTTTATTGTTATTTACAAAGGCTCAGTACACAATATTTGTTGTATGTCATCTTAGGTTGTCCAGCCACATCTTTATTGATGTTTCTTAGTTTGACATCAAGAAAAGGAAATAAAAATGAAAGGTTTGAACTTTATATTTCTTGTTAAATTACAAACTGGCTAATGTACTGTACCCCGAAGGCTGACACTAACCCCCCCCCCAAGCCTGCAGATTAGTTTTGTTATTCTTCACTGTACTGTTCATCAGGACCAGTGGAGCTTTAGTTCAGTGATACACAGTTGGTAAACTGGATTTCCTTACAGTTTCATCACTGAGCTTACATTGTCAACTCGTGTTTTCTATACCCTTTCCATACTAAGCCGATTGGTTCATAGAAAATGCAAACTAAATGTGTTTACAATTGGTAAGCAGACCTGTTATTATCTAAAATAATGTTAAATATATGGATTATCAAAATGCAAATTATTTCAAGGCATTAGCACTTCAGAGAGAATGTTAGAAAATTTTAAATATTTATTTTAAAAGGTCGATATAAATACACGCTTACATACGTGCAGTCCGGGGAAGGTAAAACGCTCAGGGTAATCATTAGGCTATTTGTAGCTGTTGATGAGGGACGGGACTTACGGACCAGCTTAGCGTGGAAATGCTAAATTAGGTGTGAAATGATTTGCAAATGCTGTATACTTTTGTTCATCCAAAAGTTACCCAGGGTGGGGAATTTTTCTCACATTCGTGCTTCATCCATCACAGAAGAAGGTCTGTTAGACTTGATGGCAAATGTATTATCTCTCAGATTATTGATGTCATTAGGACTTGTAAATTATCCTCTAATAAATTGTGGTGATAGTATGAATACACTCGTAGATTTTCTTGTATTTAATACTGTAGTGATATTTGGTTTCATTAAACTCTGTGACAGTTATGTGCTTAATAATGGTATGGTTGATTTAAATATAATATTGATTGTTAATTGAAAGAAGAAACTGAATATTCAGAAGCAACTTTATTTTTGTAGAGGGCATTGTTAGTAAAGACCTGTGCTAATGAAATGTAAAATTATGTTGCAGTTTGCTCATCACTTTTTGACAGATTTTACATTTACAGTATTTTATTTAATTTTACCCCTTGTTTCATCACTCAAACCTGTTATTAATGACATACTTATTGTTTTTACTCTCGACTGTATTTGCATTGTATCCAATTTTAGGACCTTCAGGTCATTCATAGTGATCTGTGAGATCTATGACTTAACTACCCTCTCTGTTACTTTCCTACACGAGAGGATGCACACAGGGTAGTTTAATGGCAAACAAGACTAGATAATGTTGTGTCAAAAGTAGCTCCTCCCAAGCAGTTGATTCATGATTATCAGATTTTATGAAACTATGGTTGATTCAAGGTCCAGTAAAGATTCAGGTTCACAAAGTTCACTTATTAAATCCTGCAAAAAATACTTTTGATCTGAACCTAAATCTTCATTGACCTTGAGTGTACCACTGATTCATGGAATCTGATGAACTAGAGTCAACTAATTGATAAGTTCTACTTATTTAAAAAAAGAAGATCTAGCCTTATGTACCTGGATAGTGTAACTGCCTTTGGATATGTTCTCTTTGAAGGGCACAGTGTGAACATACACTGCAGTGATATGGGTCTCCCAGATGGGTTGGTTTCTCCCCTCGTTCATACGACAGAATTTATGCTTCATTCCTTTTGTATTTAGAGTTTGTTAAGGAACTTCAAGGCTGGTAGACGAAATTAATTGTTTTGTATACTCCTTATAATACAAAATCAGTAGAAATGTGTTGCACAAGAGGGGAAATATATCTCAGGATTATTAATTTTCCTTCTTTATCATTACTCTGACATTTCAACATTGCATTAGTACTCTTGTAAGACAGTTGTGTACTTAGAGTGACTCATGTTTATCTCTTGTGGATATCTCCAGAAAAAAAGTAACATTATCATACACTGCTGAGATGATTATAACACATTTGGAAATTTGTGGAAGGACAGCAAGGCCAGTCAAAGAGCAAAGTTGGCCTTGGCTGCCATGAAGTTCCTGCCTTAAGAATATTTAGTGCAGGACTCCACATGAAAAACACTGTACAGTAGCTAAAACAACTGTCTGAGCAGGTGGGGGGGTCAATATGCTCCGAAATTTTACGTGTGACTAGTGATAGCCCTCATATACAGGTACCAAAATTTACTGTCCATGGTCTCCTATTGTTTCCCACAAAGTATGCACAGATAGTTGTTTTAGCTACTGTACATATTTTTTGTCCCTTTTTTATCTGGTCTTAGGGAACCTTGTGCCTTATACACTACGAGTCAGCTCACCATGCAAATATGAACTGACTTGGTTTTAACATTTGTATATATTAAATATTTTGCTTTGTTTCTATTAAAAATTGATTTGAGACTGGACGATGTAAAATTTAAAATGTTATGTAGAAAATTTCATCTTAGATTCAAAGATCAATCTCATTTATAATCCAGAAATTGGCGCATAGTGTTGTGGAGTTAATTACTACATATTATACCATAGTATAATGCTCATATACAGTATCAGCTGTTTTGATGTACTGTACAGAACAGTTACCTTCACTTTTACTTAGTACAGTGGCTGGTGTGTTTTGTGTGATGCGGCAACTCTGTGTTCGTTTACATTGTATTAAAACTCCCAGAATGGCCCGAAGGAACCTCAGAATAGTAGCCAGACCAAGAATATTAGATAGGCATTCCACAGAGTTGTCACATCTTACTAAACACACCAACCACTGTACCAGGTAAAAGTGCAGGCGACTGTACCGGTAATTATTGTAAGAGAAGCACATTAATCATATAGCTACTCAAATAAGACACATATGCTGTACAGTACTCTAATAATAGATAAGCAAGGTGCTCTCAAGTAACTTAACTGACAATTGATGTTTGTCTTTTAGGGACTAACTACATGTTGTGTAGGACTAGTGTAGAACTGCAGTAGTGGTGTTCAAGTTTGTGCATGTTTTTTAATTGGTAGGCCGAGATGAGGTACAGGACTGTACTTGTTCAAGTAAACGGTACATTGAATGCGAGTGATATACAAGGGTCTTCATGAATGTGATTTATGCCATATGAGTATTACGCTGCTTTAGAGGTGATGGTTCTTACCTTATTTTGTGGATTTTTCTACAACATTCTCTCAGGCAAAGACACCAGATTAGCCCTTACTTTTAAATTTGGACAACAACATCTGTTCACTGTGATGAAAACTGAATTTTTGGATAAAGTAAACTGCACACCAGAGGGAGTTTGTATCTTATATGACTGAAGAATTGGATGTTTGAAGATATAGAATTTACCATTTTGTCATTTGATACAGATTGTGAATATATGGTTTGGTTGAAATAATCTATTGTTGTTGAGTAGAGATGGTTAACAGGTATCAGTGGTAGCTCTTTGATAATGAAATGAGTTTCCTTGTATTCTTTTATATCTCTCTCTCTCTTTTCTCAATGTACTGTACCTCTTTGTACTATCCTGCTATCTCACTGTTGGGTGTCTTATGCCTTTTCCTACTATACTACTCTCACCTTTTCTTTAATTCAGAATTTAGATATTTACTACTTTTCTCTGTTCCTTCCCTACCTACACCACCTTGATGCTGTCGTATGCTCTACTTGATAATTCATTCTCTTTCTTTTTTAAAGTCTTGCATCTTTTATTTTACCTCTTAAGTTGGGATGATTTGATATTACTTATGTACTTTTCAAACTGAACTCTGTATTACAAGACTGGGAATGACGGTGATCTCATCCTCAAATCCTTCGTGGTGAGGGAGCCCTACGTAGCTTACCAAGGTACTGATACAGTGTTGTCAAACAGTGAATAAAAGACTCTGCAGAAGGTTAGGATGGTAGAGTAATATATTTTCTTAAGAATGTTGTTGAATATTTAGGGACCAAACATTATGTTAAGTGTAGTGCTCCACTTAATAAGGTAGGAGTCGTGCCTGCTTAAGAACTAAATGGGAGGCAAGAGAACAGATGTCTTAGTAGCAGAAGGAAAATTGTGTACTGTACTGTACTGGTTGTATAGAATACAATATCTTGTATCTCATAGTGTCATATAACAGCTACTCCCCTACTTACGACCTACTCGACTTACGTCCACCCGCACTTACGACCTGCCTCAGTCGTACCAAAATTTGGTCAAATTACATATTTTCGAGTCCCAAAGTCAGTACACAGACAAAATTTTCATCTGTAATTCACTTTAAAATGGCTGGCAAGCTTAAAAGTGAGTGTTTTGTGGTGCTGAGAAGAAAAAGAGACCCCCATTTTCGATTTTCTATGTGTTATTTAAGCATTTCCGACTTACGACCTGGATGTCGGTCCCTAACCCCGTCGTAAGTCGGGGAGCAGCTGTACAGTATTTAATAGTGTATCTAAACTTTTTCATTCCAATTTTGTAATAATACCATTTTACGTGTGCTTTCGTTGAAATTATTTCCGTTGCTGTGTGCATGATGATCATGAGTTATTACAATCACAGATATTGTAGTCAACAATTTAACTCAAAAGAAAAATAGGTAGAATTAATGAACTGTATCATCCAAAACTAAGGGCTTGCTTCCCTGTAGATTTTTTGTAATGTGTGTTTATTGAAAATAGATGAGTGAACATTAGTTTGAATTTTATTCATGCAACCTTTTAAAGTAAGAAAAGAAAGGCTATGAACAATGGGTACTGAGGGCAGGGAGGTTGGAATCACTGATTGTGTAGACAGATGTGAGGGAAGAGTCTCTGTGCAAGTCTCATGTTGGTGCATTCCTTACATAAGTACTTCTAGACATCCCCCTCGACCTTCGACCTTAATTTTTGAAAAAAGTTTATCAGAAATTGCATGGTTTATTTATTGTTACCATTCTGCCAATTTGTCTGATGATCTCAAGCAAGAAATTATAATTAGGTTAAACTTAGTGTGATAGTGAAGAAAAGTGGGGACTGGAGATTTTAAGCCTTTGATAATTCACAGATTGAGTCAAAAGCAATCTGAGTGACAAGACTTGCTATTGCTGATACACTATAAATATAAAAGACAGGAAAAATCAAAGCTCAGGGATGAAACTGTAAGGAAATCCAGTTTATCAACTGTGTATCACTGAACTAAACCTCCACTGGTCCTGATGAACAGTACAGGTTGACAACCCTTTATCCGAAATTCCAAAAACCGAAAAGCTCTGAAAACCGAAAGTTTTTTTGTGGAGCAATTTTTTTTTGGGGAGTATCAGCCCACCCGGGCACAGGTCACTGACCCACATCGGGGCCTGGGGGGTGAAAATGTAATAGCAATAATAATTATAATAATAATAATAATGATAATACAGTAATAATAATAATTATTCATAGTAAATAAAATTTTTAATAAAAAATACACAAAAATAAAATTAGAAAGATAACAATAATAATAATAACAATAATACTGTAATAATAAAATAATAATAATAATAATAATAAAGAAATACAAGAATGAAAAAAGATCAAAAGTGAGAAACACGACCTAGACCTATGAATTATTATTATTATTATTATTATTATTATTATTATTATTATTATTGTAATTATTATTATTATTATTATTATATTTTAGCCCCCAGGCCCCAATGTGGGTCAGTGACCTGTGCCCGGGTGGGGTGATCCCTGATTAAAAAAAAAAAAAAAAAAATGTAAGTCTTACACCTTACAAAATTTTTACCAAAATATACTTTTTTCTCAAAATTGAAATTTAAGGGGTTTAACTAATTAAGTACTTTCAGAATAACACACAAACCCTAAATCACACCTTGGAAACCCATAGTTGATGAGTAATTAGCATTGAAAAATGTCAGTAATAGCTTTCAAGGGTCATTTTGGCCACTAATTACTCTGCAATCGAATCGTGGACCACATAGTCATAATGAGCAAGCTCAGGAGTACCCAAACTGTACCTGGAGAATGCATGTAAAGCACGTTTAAGGATGGTTTTATACATTGTTACTGACTATGCAGCTCCCATCCTTATAATGTATAGTAAGAAAGTTATTCAGAAGCTTGAAGTGATGCAAAATTGTTTTAGGGTGTCAACGGAACACTTGAATTGAAATAATGAGAATGGAGTTAGATTTACCAAGTATAGGACATAGAGTAAAGGAACTTGCTATCGCCGCTACTCTTAGGACCATTAGGAGAGGAGGAGATAATAGTGTGTCCCGTACAGTAATGAGCTTAAATGAAAGAACAGATCCTGGCAATGTGTCCAAGTATCCAAGACTATTGTATAATATTATGATGGAGTATGGAGTAGATAAATATTTCATTTTATTACAAACTTATTTAAGGTTTAGACCATGGGAGGAAGGATGCATTACAGTAGATATTTTACAGCTTGAGGGGTAAAAAGAAGATTGGCATCCCAGTTATTTGAGAAAAATCTTTTGAGAGAAAAGAGATAGTTTTCCCAGGCGAAACACTGTACATATAATTATGATGGATCAGTATTAAGTAAGGGTCAAGCGGGATGTGGTGTTTTTATAAGGGAATATTTGATCAATGAGTGTTATGCAGATGAAACAGTTTGTGAAATAAATTAGTAACAACACCTCATCCACGCTGGCTGAACTAAACGCAATTTGTGAAGAACTCCAGGTTGATATAGAGAAATGTAAAGGACCGTAAATTTTTGTTGATAGTAAAAGTGTATTTTAAATTTGTTTGTGACTTTATTCTTGGAACGTACAAAGTTATGGACACACACACATACACTCACAGACAACTCAACCAAACAATCAACCAATCATGCATTGTTTTTTACTACTGTTACTATTATAAATTTTGTTATTGTTATATTATTTGGACATTATCATTTTTATAACTATTCCTAACATTATCATTAAGCGATGGAGCGTCAATGAGAGGTTAGGAGGGGTAGGAGTCTCTCGGGTCACCTCCAGCTATTGTGTTAGCCCTCGTGTCACTCAGTAAGTTTGGATAGATAGATAGATAGATAGATAGATAGATAGATATATAATGATAGATCTTAACATAAGTATCTACAGCCTGACAAGCCACTACCAAAGGACATAATATATAATTGCTAAATTATGTTCGATATCTCTTAACTAACTTGTTCCTTTTCCACTGTACACTGAATTAAACACTTGGTGTGTGTCTCCTTTCCTCTGTTTCTCGTGTTGTTGCTCTCTCTATGTTTCATTCTATCTTTTCCTGTCATGTTGTGGTGTTTCTTAAGACGTACAAGAACGGGTCAAGTAAAACACAATCAGTAATTTTCTTTCATGTACTTTTGCCAATATACATTCGAATGATGTTCACAGACAAAATATCAAGTGAGCATGACAAATGTTGGTGAATACAGGTGTATAAATTAGCATGAGAAAAATGGATTTAAAATTGAACGAAGTCGAGCAAATGACAAAAAAAAAAAAATAGATACATGATTCGGCCATCCTCGAGGGCATCACTCCACTTCCGCACCGACAAATACTGTCAGGCCACGAGAAAATTATGCAGAGTAAAAACACAAGATAATATCACAGAGACAAACCTTAAAAGCAGCAGAACCAAAGCATGAATGAGCCGTCTGTGTTTACAAAGTTACGATGACAATGACAGTGATGCAGATGATGATGATTTTGAACCATATTCTTGAAGAAACCTCCCGTTCCAGGAGACCTTACCCGACGGCGGCGTGGCCACAGCAGAAGGTCCCTGAGGGCGGTGGCAGGGGATGTACACCACACATGCTTCACGGTTTTATAAACAAGAAATAATTGATAAAACTCCACGTGCGTGAGGCAGCTATGGTAGAAATGCTAAACAAGACGCTGCTGTCATGTTGTGAGGCGACAACACTGACCATCATTGACAAACTTCATAGACTGGTTACACTGAGGTGTCGAGCGATGTGTGCTGTTGTGAAGGGATGTCACAAGGGAGTATATATACACACACGAGCAATAGATTATTGTAGGAATGGAAGTAATAACTTACATTCTGTGAAAATTTAGGAATATATTCCGTCGTTACAAAGAGGGACAAAAATAATAATCTCTCAAACAAATGAGTTGTTACATCGGGTATTTCTCCATCGTAAGCAGCTCCTTAAGTTAAGTCAACCATAAAAGATCTATTCGTGTCGGGAATAATGATGATATATTCATTTCCAAATCTTTATATAAATAAATAGAAACGTGTATGATCCACAGCAGGTGAGGTTGTTGAGCGGGTAGCTGTACGGTGGACAGTCTGTGGGGTCGAGAAACACACATCAGTCACGGGACGCCATCATGTTACTTATACTCTAATATAAAAAAAACTCATGTTCACAACTACTTTAATAATAATAAAACTGATAATAAGTATAACCATTGAGAATCTTGACAACATTGTTATTTTTAATATTGTTGTTGTAATGATCATGATGTTTATATTTCTTTTAATAATTCCATATGAAGTGTTAACCTAAGACCCCCAAAATTAATGTGAACGGCACAATGTGAAAAACCAAAACATGTACAGTACCTCCTTCTACTCTTGACAAGAAATTACAGAGAATGTTGCACAATACAGCCAGCCATACAGGATATACTCACAGGAACAGTGTATACAGGCCATCACATACACACACACACACAAGTATCGCTGTGCACACACATCTACCAACAGCAACAAAGTGTAAACAAACAGACCAAGAGAGGGACGGTTTGGTTTGGTTGGTACTTACATAGGTGTCACCGTGGGCAGCTGGTTCCTCCTCCTCCCTCAAGACGTTGGTAGTCCAGTCCGCTCTACAGGTAGTAGGAGGGACGGACGGAGGGGGATATCGTGTTAAGGACGAGGGGGTAGGTGCTCTTTGGGTAGACCGCAGGCCCTGAGTAGGTGTACGTTGGGGAGTGGGCGGGAGGCCTTGGGATCATCTCAGATGCACGGGGACGGGTCTCCACTTTGGTGATGTCTATTTTGGTAGCGGCGATGTTTGGAGGTCATAGTGATGTTCGATTTCCAGGGGATGTTGTCGGATGTTTCGTCGGTGATGGGCAGGAAGTGAGCCTGAAAGTGTAAAAGGGGCCAGCTCGGGGAAGCAATATACCGTCTTAAATGTTATCCTCCCTCTTGACTTTCTGCACAAACATTATCTTACATTACGCCACCTTCTGTTAATGTACCCCTTTTTGCCTACAGACATAATAAAATTTATATATTTTGTCCCTCCAATTAAGAAAGTAACTTTCCTCTACTTTGATGACTTTTCCTTTACCCCCGAGAACTTTCCCCTATCTCTAGGACTTACTCCTATCTCTAGGACCTTCCCTTACCCTGAGGACGTCTCCCTATCTCAAAGACTTCCCTCTTACAGTCCCTTCGCTAACACACTGACCTTTCAGAGACCTGTAGTAGGTTGACCAGAAGCGGGCCTTGGCGTCGACGGGGTAGCCATTAGTGTGGGCGGCGAGCATGCGTGATGTGACAACCATCTTGGTGGTGTGAGTGTGGCGGGTAGCTGGCTAGAGCTGATCGTTTGATTTAAGTCGAGAGTATCGCCTTCGGAACCACCACCTGCGACAGAGGTAGAGGAACCCGATTAAAACCAATAATATATTTTTTTTTTATTCTTAGCTTGAGTTCCGAAGAGCTGTACTTAAGACAGAACTGTAGGTGTGCGAATCATATTTGCCGTAAGTGCTATAAAACAATAAAAGCAAACCGTAAAAACTGCCACAAGCCATTAAATTCCTCAACATGTACAGTATATTCTAGTAATCAGAGTCGCGGAAAAATTACCAAGTGATTTTTGGGAATACTGTACATAGTTAAATGAAAATACAAACTCAAAGTGAATTCATAACATTTTCACCTAAGTAGTTTCTGTAGTCGAATGTGTGTGTGTGTGTGTGTGTGTGTGTGTGTGTGTGTGTGTGTGTGCAGCCAGTGTGAAGGACGGATGTGGTTGCATAATTACTTTCAAGATTATAACTGTTGGCTTAATTGTAGCAGTCGGGGCGCTGCCACCTACTAGCTCCCCATCCCCTACACCCACGACCTCCCTCTCTCCCTAAACAGCTATAAGCCAGGGGGAAACAACCTACTGTATATTAGTGAGGGGGAGGAAGAGGAGGTGACGGCGCCAAGGTTAACTAAACACTAATATAGACTAAGCGAGCTCAGGTCTGGCTGTAGGTTAGGTAGATCAATATAGAAATGTAGGCCATCGGTTATTAAAGGGATCCTCTAACATGAAGAAGATGGAGAGGTCCACTACAGAGAGAGAGAGAGTGATTTTACAATAAGAAAGTGTTACCTCCATTTATGTTACAAAATCTCTTATAAATTCCCAGTTGCAATATAATAATAATAATAATAATAATAATAAAACCTTTTATACAATTTACGAGGCAACCAACTCATATCATAAGCAGGGAAAAGAAGCAAAGAAGAGGAAACAGCGAGACTCGAGGCGTCAAGTGTCGAGTAAAATACTAATTCTCACTTCGGATGGAATGTCTGTTGTTCTATGAAACCTTACGAGGCTTTGTTTTTGTGTTGCCATCTGCTGCCACAACAACCAAAATCACCACCAAGACAACTATCTACAATGAGTACCACAACAACCATCACCACAATCCCTACAAGAGTTGGACAGCGACTGTAACGATAATAAAGGCACGAACAAACGACTGCATCGCCTTGCAAGACTTACCACCAACAAGATGTCCATTTCGACCCAGTGAAATCGTATAGTGTTTTACTACCTGCCCTGACAACTAACAGCTGCAGCTTCAAAGTTACACTGCCAAAAAAAAAAAAATACGAAGAAAAGGGGTATTAATTTTTAAAATTATATTTCACATATTACGTGGATTACAGGCATCTGAAAATAGCGGGAGTGAGAGGGAGATGGAGTTTGTCGAGCCAACACGAGGGCAAACGCTAGAAACCGCAGCCACTAACAATAATAATGTTGTAAAGAAACAAAACCAACTTATTTTTAGGCGGGTCGTGGAGCGTAGGCGGCCGGGAGGGGGCGGAGAAGTTAAGTAAATTCCGAAAACGTCAGTGGTGTGGGCGTATGTAAGCGAGGTGGGGGAAGAGGAAGAGAGACAAAGAGAGAGAGACACAGAAAATAAAAATAAAAATAAATGTAAGATTATTATGGGTCCGAGGAAACAATACCTATGAAAAGATTAATCCGATTTATGAAGTTAGGAGGTCAGAATAAAGGTGGGAGCCACATTCGACTTAAAGATAGAAATAACAAGAGGGTATGAGAGGCGTCGGCCATGATGTAACTGGGGCATGTCGAGGTGTTTGTTATGGCATCGTGTGAGAGAAGATGGACGCCACGACCCTCTTACCATACCTGGAGGGTCGGTTACGAGGTACAGGCCAACACCTACACCCAGCCACCCGATATAAATACACCTAAACGCCACTTTAACAACACACACACACACCAACACACACGCGAGCGCACGCATATTATGTTGACGCATACTTCACTCACTGCTACCTGTAATCTACACATATGAGTACACTTTATTTTAACATCTTTCTGCTCACACCTGTACTTGTAGTTAAACACACCAGTAAGTGCAGCGTACTTAATATTAGAAGAACAAATACTTATAATGTATACAGCCTTAACAACATCAACCTAGAGAAGTCGACTTGTGAAAGAGACCTAGGGGTACTTGTAAGCCCGGACCTACGGCCTAGAAAACAGTGCGTTAATGTTCGAAATAAGGCAAACAGAGTATTGGGTTTTATATCTAGAAGTGTAAGTAACAAGAGTGCAGAGGTCTTATTGCTACTATATCTTGCGCTAGTCAGGCCGCACCTCGATTATGCGGTTCAGTTCTGGTGCCCCTATTATAGAATGAATATAAATTCACTAGAGTCGGTGCAGCGAAGAATGACAAAAATGATTCCGGGACTTAGAAACCTTCCATATCAGGATAGGCTAAAGAAACTTAACTGCATTCCCTAGAAAGACGAAGAGTGCGGGGAGATATGATAGAAGTATTTAAGTGGGTGAAAGGAATCAATAAAGGGGATATAGATAAACTTCTTATAATATCCGAGCAGGATAGGACTCGGAGCAACGGATTCAAGTTGGATAAGTGTAGGTTTAGGAGGGAGATAGGAAGAAACTGGTTCACAAATAGGGTGGTGGACGAGTGGAACAAGCTTAGCAACTTTGTAGTAAGTGTGGGAACTCTGGAAAGTTTCAAAGGAGGCAAGATAAATTCATGGATGATGGAGAGTGGTAGTAACTCTCGACAGGAGCTGCCATGCACAGACCAACCGGCCTATTGCAGACTCCTTATGTTCTCATGTTCTTATCATGTAGACACTATGAAAACACACATATTTACAACACACATTGAGCTAATAATACACTCATAACGATTTAAGTTCTCCTCACTCCGCCACGCTTATAAGTCAACACACTATTAAACATGCTTACATCCCCTACTCCATAAACGTCACACTCCGGAGCAACACAGCCATCTGCCACGTCGTAACCCGCCTCGTTAAGCCCAGCTGGCGGCCCATCTCCCTGGGGTAACGTGTAAGCTCGGTGTAAACAGGATGGGTATTACCGATTTTCTTGTGACCCTTTTGACGAGGAGACTACCTGGCTCAGATGATACTACAGGTCAACAACTTCCACCAGAAGGAGTCAGGTGGATACTATTGGCAGACTCACAACACATACCTCGATCATGGGGGTGTTGGGGACGGAGGACAGGTGTTGTGTTGCTAGAGAGGAGGGTGGGGCTATAACTACACGTGCTACAGGTGTGTTTGATAACATGGGTAAACTCTGAGCAACGCCTGTCCTTCACGCCTATTTTTTTTCTTAAGATATTGCCAATAAAAAGCTAATATGTGCATATACGTAGCAAAAAATAAAATAATCTCAGTGTAGCCAGATCAGCCATTGAGATGTGTATTAAATGTCAGGTAAATAACAATAATCGTAACGCCAATAAAAGTTAACACAGTGACGAACTACATGCACCGTTGACGTTAGATTTCACCCCCGTGCATAATGTCGGTGGAACGATAATTTGGCACTACATGAGAGGAGCTGGACGATGAAACTTGGCACCACATGAACCTGGCACTGAATTCTGACATTACTGACGCCTCTTTATGAGTGTGAATGACCAGTGGCATGTTACATTCCTTTACGGGTCAGACAGAGTGATGGATGGAAGCTATGTTGTAGGTGACAGTCTCCTATCTGTAAGGTGGAATGTCTGCGTCAGTGGTAAATGAGCGTTTAATTTTGTGAGGCCTTTTTTGTGTTTAATCTAATAATGGTAGAGAGAGAGAGAGAGAGAGAGAGAGAGAGGTGGGGGTGGCGCGTGAGTCCAGTGTTTACATCTGAGGAGCGGGGCGAGCGGCGGCTACCACCAGATTTAGCTGCCACCAGGAAGTGACGTAGGGGGACCCCCACCCTCATACACCTGCCACCCACCCTCACTCACACCGCCCACTCATCTCCACACCCACTTCCACACCTGCCCACTGATTCCCACGTCCACATGCAAGACTAGTGTAGTCTCTAATATCTAGGCACACGGTACCACAGGCAACAAAGAGTGGTAATAAATGGAGTACATTCTGAATGGAAAAAGTTTCTCAGTGGACTCGCCTTGTTTGTGATCTACGTAAACTACATAGATGAAAATATATCGAGCCACATTACTAAGTAGGCGGACGACATGAAGATATTTGGGAAGGTGACAAGTCAAGACGATGTCGCAACAATGCAGAAAGACCTGCACGAGCTGTTCAAATGGTCTCGAGACTAACAAATACTCTTTAATATTACGAGATATAAGACCCACTCGTAGAATACAACAACCCTAATAACAAATATTGTGTTAATAGCACTTTCCTGGATACTGTCGATAAGGAGAATGATCTTGGCGTTGTGATAGATCATTCACTGAAGGCAGCGCAACCAGTGGGGGCAGCAGTGAGAAAAGCAAATCGAGATTTGAGAATTATAAAGCTTACCTTTGAATACAAGGACAGGAAAATGTTCCTTCAACAGCATAAAACTCAAGTATGTCCCAGTCTGGATTACTGTATACAGGCATGGAAGCTCTACCTCCAGAACTATTGTATGTTATCTCGAGTGTCCAAGTAGACTGAGGGCCTTAGGACTAACAACCCTTCAGACAAGGCACAATAGGGCAGGTCTCAATGAAACATTCAAAATCCTAAAGAGATGGAAACCGTGAACCCGGGACATTTCTTTGTGATGTCACACCCCACCAACACGAGAGGACATAACTACAAGTTCTCCAACTATCATGCGGAAATAATATAAGGAAACACTTCTCCACACAGAGGCTGGTAGACCTATGGAACACACAGAGGCTGGTAGACCTATGGAACGGTCTTTCTGCCCAAGATGTGGAATCAAGAACAGTACTGGGCTTCACAATAGCCCTTGACAAAACTACCAAGAAAATGGAGAAATCCTATACTGGTCACTGGCCTCCTTCCCTCGCCATGGCCACCTCTAGTGTGTGGCCATTAGGTAAATAAGATAAAATGTTTTCTTAACCTCTGCGAGCGACCTACTGATGCCATATCGGCCTCCCAGCCACCTCACACCTCGCCAACATTTTGCCATCAACTTCGAGTGACAGGGAAGAGTGTGTGTGTGTGTGTGTGTGTGTGTGTGTGTGTGTGTGTGTGTGTGAGCTTGTAAACATAAAAGGTAGGGTTCGTGGCAGGTATATACCCGTATCTCCACCAACCCAACACATCAAAGGCGTACCATCCTAATTACACCTGTCCATCACAGTACAACCAAAGTGACCATCACACGCCCTGACAATGTTGTGTGTGTGTGTGTGTGTTCCTTCAAGAGGCAGGTACAGGCGTCATTCTGGTGGCTAAGACAAGTCGTTGCCATTAGTCCGTGGCTGCCTAATTGCCCCTTGACTGTTATGTACTGTACTGTCACTGACCTTGTTTCTTCCTTCTCTCAGTACCATCCCCTACTGTTCCTTCCCTCACTGACCTATTCCTTCTCTCCTTCCTACCACCACTGTTCCTTCTCTAACTACCATCAATGTTCCTCCTTTCTTCACTACCATCATACACTGCTCCTTCCCGCACTACCTTCACTTTTCCTTCCCACACTACCATCACACACAGTTCCTCCCCTCACTACCCTCACTGTTCCTTCCCTCACTATCATCACTGTTGCTTTCCTCAAAGGGTTTAAGACGCCACGCTCAAGGGGTTAATGGTAATCCCTCTAGATCAGTGGTTCCCAAACTTTTTCTGATCATTACCCACTTTTCATATATGATCCTTATCCATGGCCCCCCTCTCCCAATCCATATCTCTGGCTGGCTCAGCTGCTGACTGGCTGTTCTAGTGTGGTGGGGCTTGGGATTTTTATGTGTACATAGCCTCAGCTTATGGCCCCCTAAATTTTGCTGGGGGGCCATGGCCCCCAGTTTGGGAACCAGCGCTCTAGATCTAAAACACTAACTTCATCCAACAGACATATTTACATCTGCACTAGTTACCTAAACGTGTACATTCTTAGGTGTTTCTTTTGGTGATATTTTTACAACATAAGAAATCCTTTTAGTCATCCCTGTCTTGGTCGAGGGAGGGAGAGGAAAGGGTAGGGATGAGAAGGGGAGAATGGGCGATGGAAGGGAGGAAGGGGGAGAGGAGGGAGGAGGGTAAGGGGATGGGAGAGATGAGAGGGGGGGCAGGATGAGGGAGGGAGTCTCAAATGACGCCAGATCGATAAAGGTGACAGAAATAACTGAGATCATATAGCTGAGTAGACAGGGAACGCGACACCGTGAGAGGAAGTGAGGGATGCTGGAGGGGAGGAGGGGGGTGAGGGATGCTGAGGGTGGCGAGGGGGGGAGGGATGGAGGGTGGCGAGGAGGGGTGAGGATGCTGGGAGGGTGGAGGAGGGGTGAGGGATGCTGGAGGGTGGCGAGGAGGGGGTGAGGGATGCTGGAGGGTGGCGAGGAGGGGGTGAGGGATGCTGGAGGGTGGCGAGGAGGGGGTGAGGGATGCTGGAGGGTGGCGAGGAGGGGGTGAGGGATGTTGGAGGATGGAGATGGGGGAGTGAGGGAGTGTGTAGAACGAGGATAGAACCGAGAGATCAGGGGTATAATTAACCAAGGGAGACGGGGAAGCATTAATCAGTTAAGGTAATTAGGAGTATGGAACCACGTAATCACCTGTGTGACCACCAACACAGACACCAAACCACACAGGGAGAAAACAAGTTGGGAATTATCAGACTCAAGGGTTTTGATTTCGCGTCTCTAGGTATCACAGCGTCAGAACACAGCACTGATAAACTAACTTGCACAGAGTTTCCACAGCAGCGACAGTTACAGGAGCAAATTCTCACAGAAATGGTAGTCAGTATACAGGGAGGCAGCAGAACCCACCTGTCAGATGTGGTCTCGCTCGAGGTATTGTGCCCCTGTAGGTCGTGGACTGCTTATATACCCTCTGGCCCACCTTCCTCCCACGCCTCAAATCTCCTTCTACCAATCACCAGCCTCCCTTTGCTCATCAGCCAATCACGAGGTCGGAACGTCATAAGAAGCCAAAAAGATGAGGGGGGAGAATGTTTCAAGCTAAGGCAATAATTCCACACCGAGATGAGTAAAATTCTAAAATAAGCCCCGCGCGATTTTTTGGGGTTGACATTCACTCCCATAATTGCTCTCCTTAAGTAACCTTGAGGTAAAGGACTCTATCCTCGAGGTATTTATATCCCCTGTGTCCATCCTTCACTTGTATTTGTGATGTATAAACTACCAAATTACGACATTTTCTTCTGACGTCACAACTCCTCTGCCAACAGGACATAGATATCACTGGATACAAGTCGGTAGTTCACCATAATACGTAGACGCAATAGTTATAAACAAAATCATATTGGAAAGTTCAAGTCAGCCCAGAGAGAGAGAGAGAGAGAGAGAGAGAGAGAGAGAATTAACACTACATCAAGTACTACCGTTATGACCTGGAGGGACTTCTTCTGTAATGTCACTCCCGACTTGAGTATAATGAATTACAGGAGTGACAACTAATTGTACATTAAGACACAGCAGGGAGCTTAACACAGTGACCTCTCTCTCTCTGCGGCCAAACAGTGATATATTTTACACTATCCTAACCTTAACCCAATGTACTATAGTAAGTTTGTAGGAAATATTAACCTCTTAAACTAGAACAACAGTAGTGGTACCTTCACTATACAGCCCCCCCACACACCACCTCCCTCCCCCTAGGTAAGGTCAGGTACAAAACACGAGTCAAAAAATAAATAAAAACAAAAGAAAAATTGCGAAAAAACTTGGTTATTATGATGTTATTGTTTCTAAGTTTCATCGGCCGCTCAAGGAGAAAACAAACAAACAAACAAACAAACAAACAAACAGACTCTTCACACGGCCCCTACATAACACAGACATCCACTAACACAGTCATTTATCTCCCCCCCCCCTCTTCCCTCCTTCCCACACACGATGTTACACAAGTTACCCCAAGGTATTTTTCTCTCTCAATAATTCTTTACGGTTTTTGTCACACTAGTGTATCTTTACACACCCCTTCACACCCTCAAAACCTCCCTCAGCCTTCCGTCAGTACTCCTACAAACCCTCACACCATCCTCAAAACCCCTCACCCCGCCTTCAACACCTCCCACCTCTGCGAACTTTAAATATCAAGTGTGTTGCTAACTTAAACATGTACAAGTGTTCAAAATTGGCACGGCAGTAATTTGTTGTTCCATAAACACTCAATAAATGTCTACTTTACTCACACACACACACACACACACACACACACACACACACACACACACACACACACACACACACACACACACACAGTGACCCCCTAAGAATGTATTTATGTCGGTAAAATCAATAAATAGGTTTCTCTTCATTTTTTTAATACGTGGTAATCAACAGGTGTGATGACAGATAATTGGTTTGTTTATTATGATGAGGCCGTAGGTGTGTAGTGGTGTGTGGTAATTGACGTGATGGTGGCAGTCACAGATCATCAAGGTATAGCATCACAACACGCTCTCAGTTTATCTATTGGCGCGGTATATGATCTTGTGTAAGCTGCGTGATGCCGAGGACACTAATAATTAATTTGCTGCGTAGGGTCCGTAGGTGTGTGTGTGTGTGTGTGTGAGCGAGTCATCGTAGGGAGAGAAGCTGGGAAGGAAGGGAAAGAGAGGAGAGGACGGGAGGGAGTGAGGGAGGGATATTATTGGCATGGTAACGATCTGGGAAGGAAGTTGGAAGCAGAGAAGGAGAGAAGACCCAGCTGTTAATATTTGCTAAGTATATGTCTAACTTCAGCGGGAAAGCCAAGCCCTTGTTGGTAAGGGAGAGGAAAGAAGGAAGGGACTGGGAGGGGTAAGAGATGGGAGAGAATGTGGGAAGGGAGGTAGAGGAAGGGAGAGGAGGGTTGGAGACAGAGGGGAAGGGGCGCTGTGGATGGGTGGGGGAGCCTATCCTGTTTAAGGTGGCGACCCCCTTCCCCTGATCCGAATTTGGAGAGGTGTAAGCGTGCCCGGGCGAGGGTGTGGTGTGGGAGGGAGGGAGTATGTGGGAGGATGGGGAAGTGGGAGAGTGGGGGTGGGAGAATGGGAGGGGGGTTGAGTTGGTGGGAGAGAATGAGAAAGAAAAAGAGAAATGAAGTGGAAAAAGAATGCAGGCGGTCCACCCACACCTCTGGCTCGTGAACGCCCCTCACTACCACCAATATTACCACACCTACACCCAACATCACCCCCCCTCCCCCCCACCACCACCACGCCTCCAACCATACCACAGTCACCACCGCTAACTCTACCCACAACCACCAACATCACCCCCCACCCCACCACCACGCCTCCAACCATACCACAGTCACCACCGCTAACTCTACCCACAACCACCAACATCACCCCCCACCCCACCAATCTCTTCCACCCTCACCCACAGCCCACCTACGCAACCAGGCTCCCAAACTATCCCTGGCTGGCAAGGTGCAGGGGGAGTCAAGGAGCGGTGCAGCGTGTCTCAGGAATTAGTGCACATGGTTGAGCTTCTTTCCACTCCTTATATTCCTGCACTAAAAGTATCATCTGAGCAGCGACGTAAAGACTACAAGAACGACAACCTAACCTAACCCAACCTAACCTAACCTAACCAAACTTAGACGTCTTTTAAATTAGAAGTTCTCGTGTTTGGTGTTTGTGTTCTCCTGAGTGATGTGTGGAACTCCATCTATTGGCCGACTGACTCACAAAGTAATCTAACATGTGGCGATGATAATAGATTAATAGCATTTAACTCTTTTATATCACCTTAGTATTTATCGTAAGTAACCTGATTCTGTCACTCTAACACGGTCGTCTGCCTTCTCTATACCACTGCCGCCATGAGCCAAGAGAAGTCACATCCTGGGGTCACGCTGTAGATGTTGTGGAGTCGGGTTATATTGTCAAGAATTATGTATTTCTGTCAACCATCTATTTATCTCAGTCATCGTCCATTACCACCACTACTAGTACTAGCACCACCATTTACCATCACTATCACCATCACCGCTACCACCATCACCACCAGTACCACCATCACTACCGCCTTCCCTCACGTCACCTCTGTTTTAGTCACCATTTACCTTACCACTGAGTCACCGCCTGTATCTAGAATCACCGAGAGAGAAGAGAGAGAGAGAGAGAGAGAAAGAGAGAGAGAGAGAGAGAGAGAGAGAGAGAGGCACCAAGTACTCCCCTTTTGGTGATCTTCGTGACCCGCGTGACTGTGTTTGTGATCGGACATCCAAAGAAGCTGTCAGGTTTGTTATCGATATGTG